AGATTATAGTGATTGGACATTTACCTATTGCATCATTTGGTTTAAGGGACCAATCATATCAGTAATCACACAGGTTCAGGGTCCTGTATAGACTAGTCTGTGCGTGATGTCCATAGGTTATATAAAAGAAATCATGGCAAACTTTTGAGTCAGATTTCATTGGATTCCGGAGAGATTACCATCTGAGTTCCTAGACAGCAGCTTGATTCCAGAAGGGCAATCTGACTGGCTAGGGGTTAAGAATGACTTTAGTATTGTAATCTGTACTATGCTTGTATCCATGTATCCGGCTATGATATATAAAATGTAAAAACGAACTGCTGCATTGTTATTCCTGATAAGACAAACGTGTTAACTAACTGAGATAGACAAGAAGAAGTAAATACACAACGTGAATGGGAAGCAAAGACAACCAGAGACAAATTCTAGACGATCACAAGGCTACTAAGATATGTAGTAAGAAAAGATGCATGGGTCATACGTAGGATGTGGCGACCGGTTTTGGAATATCCCGCTCTCCACGTCTGATTAAAGGCCCATGGTACTACATATTTGATTTGGTTCCGTAAGTCAGTTTCGACCTTTAGGTTCAGCAGCAACTTTTAAAGAAGAAAACATATTCTATTTGGGGCCGTGACTAAGTTTCGACCTTTAGGGTAAGCAGCAACTTTGGAAGAAGAATACATATTCTATTTGGTGCACGTGACTAAAAGATCGAGTACCATGGAAGAAATCTGGAAGAAGAAACCCCGTACAAACCAGCAACAGGAAAAACATTCTGGTGGAAGAAAGAAATCTGGTGGAAAAACAAATTGGTGGAAAATAAATCTGGTGGAAGAACAATTTTTGATGGAAATATTCACAAAATTGGGCAAATACATTTTTTCGGAAAAATTGAATGTAAATTTGTTAACAGATCACATAATAGTAATATAAAATAAGTGTTTTAAATTCCACTATATAGAGTATAAAATATACTTGAGTTTTGACAGGGTCATTAAACAATATTGTATCACTAGTGTTTCTAGGGAGTAGTTTAAAAAAAACTTTTTTTAGTATCACTAAGAAATAATGATTAGCAAACGGAATAGGGAATAAAATAAGGAATTAATGTTGTCTCCGGATCAAAGTGGGAAGATGACAGAGCTAAGGATAGAGTTGGCATGTTTCTTCTTTATTCGTTAAAGTGTGTGTTTTTGTGTCGTTCGTATATGTGTCTAGTTAACTACAGCTAATATAGTTTTGAAACTCTTAGTCCAAGTCTCAAGATTATGGTTTTAGTTGAGTAAGACTAAATTAGGTAATTTAACTCTTGAAAAAAAGGTTGAGTTGTGTTAAAATCCCATGTATGTAAATCTAGGGATGTAGGTATATTTTTTCCTGAAAAAAAACCAAAAACTAAAATTAACGACTCGTTAAATATTGAGATTATCGCAAAGTCTTTAATACGAGTTTAATACGGAGTTAAATTGTGCTTTAGTCATGTAATATAAACGTTAAATATATATTTGCTAAATTTTGCTTTAAATTGTTCACGCGAGGTGATTAAGAATGTGTAATTTGACATGTCACACTGTACTTTTTTAGTCTGGTTATTATAAACGAACGGTTGTAAATTTGACGTGTGTGTAAGACACGTGATTTCAGTGATAAGTTGAATGAAATTGAATATAATTAAAAGCTAGGTATATTCTGATTGTCGTGTTTATAAAATATAGACTGGTGTTCAGAGGGAGTGAAGTGCACGTCACTTACTTTAGGACATAGTTGTAAATATAAATTATAGTCTGGTATTGTCATAAGTTTGAGCTCACCTTGTGTCATGTCAGTCTGATAGGAAGTATTTATGTAATGTTGGGTGGTGTTTATAAAAGCGAAATACAAGATTGTAAATGATTAGGTCAAAAGGGTCACATTACTGACGGGTGAAATATAAAATAATGAAATTGTTTTGTCTGAATTCTAAAACAGAAACGGAAATTATAAAATTATAAAATTGTCCATTTCTGAGTTAAGGTCAAGAGGTCAAAGTTAGTTTGAAGACTTATAATTTAAGAGACACATCAAAGTTCATTCATAATTAAATGAAGTTTAATTTTAATTAAAAGTAAGAGTTAATAATAAAATTAGGAATAGTTTGTTCTTGGTCTGATGGCAATGACATGTTTGACTGACTGACACTGTGGTAGCTGAAACAGACCAATGGAAATCCGAGAAGAAGAAATGGTTTACCAATTTACCAATTTGAGATTTCCTGAGACAGAATTTAAAGTGAAACCTGAACTTTAGAAATTAGTAGTGATGTGTTATTTAAAAGACAATTTGTTTTTTCTGTGTTTAGGCTTTGAAGTACAGTGATGAACCTTTGGAGAGCTTTTGCTTTTTATTTTTGTTTATTTCTGTTTTCATTGATACTTATATTTTTAGAACAGATTGACGCAGATTGTGATCATATGTAATCTTGTATGTTAATCATATAGTAATCATATATATATGTGCATGAATAATTAATTTCGCATAAATCTTTCAAGAGGGGGAGGTGATATATATCGATTTTCGAGATTTCTGCTACATGCATGAATACTTATATAAATCAACAGATGTTGGTATGGTTATTGTAAATGATTCAAGGGATCTTTTACCTAATACCGAGCAAAAGATCTTAAAGAAATGGACGAATGTAAGACTCTTGCTAAAATTTTTGCTCTTTAAATTAAGGATAGCATTATATTGTATTAATTAATATCATTGGCAAGTTAGTAGATTAACATCTTCGTACTTAAATCAAGTTAGCGAATGAGTGACAGATGGGTATATAAAAAGAGTTATAGAGCTAAAACATAGTTGGTTCTATATGTCAACAACATGTTACCAGATTATACGTCATTGGAAGTTTACCTATTGCATCATTTAGTTTAAGGGACCAATCATATCAGTAATTGCACAGGTTCAGAGTCATGTATAGACTAGTTTGTGCGAGATGTCCGTAGGGCATATAAAAGAAATCATGGCAAACTTTTAAGCCAGATTTCATTGGATTCCGGAGAGATTGCCATCTGAGTTCCTAGACAGCAGCTTGATTCCAGAAGGGAAAAGATGTAGAAATTTCTATCAGCAGACTCGCCCCAGTGAGTCTGGCTGGGTAGGGGTTAATAATGACATTGGTATTGTAATCTGTATTATGCGTGTATCCATGTATCCGGCTATGATATATAAAATGTAAAAATGAACTGCTGCATTGTTATTCCTGATAAGACAAACGTGTTAACTAACTGAGATAGACAAGAAGAAGTAAATACACAAAGTGAAGGGGAAGCAAAGACAACCAGAGACAAATTCTAGACGATCACAAGGCTACTAAGATATGTAGTAAGAAGAGATGCATGGCTCATACGTAGGATGTGGCGACCGGTTTTGGTATATCCCGCTCTCCACGTCTAACAGAAGGCCCATGGTACTACATTGGTCTTATTCTGAAAATGCAAATTAGAAACAGACATTTGAATTGTCTATCATCTAAAACCATTTAGTTATTTTCTCCAGAGTGATTTATTAGAGCGAAACTTACTTCATCTGTGACTAATAAATGAATTTGACAGGTTACTCGGTTTACACAGTGATGCAGGACAGTGTACGCGTTGGCATGAACATAAAAGAACCCTTGACAGACGGAATGACGTACACAGTTAAAATGATTGGGTTGTGTACACTTTTAAAGGCTCAATACCACTCTTGTTGTAACTGAATAATATGTCCTAATCTTTATTCTAGTCAACAAATTGTACTATTTTACAATATTCCAATTAATTCATGATACAAATTTCATCTTAACACACCTAATTTAAAAAATTGGAAAAATTCAACTAAATGATTTGAAAAGCCTGACGTAAATCTTTTCAAATGTGACTTGGATTTAAAAATATTTTTAAACCCTTTGGACAAGTAAAATAGGATTTAATGGATAATTTACACAACAGGTAGGACACTAACACATCTAGTACTAGAATAAGGCTATTTTTTTATTTTCTTGAGCTGTCAAGCCCGCAAGAGTGTCATTGTCCCTTTAAGTGTAACTTAAACCAACTAAGAGATGTCAATCAGCACCGATTTCATTGACTTTTTATAAGGGGTAAACACACAAAAGACGTAGACTAGTGTAATGTACGCTAAAGATGGTGTAAGCTAAGTCTTATCGAATCAATAATACTGTAAGTATACACTATTCTATAATATGTGTGTATGGTGGTATGGTCCAAGAAAAAGTTAGCTAACATTTTTAACAGGTAATCGTGTACATAAAAACCAACTTAAATGTGTAAATTAATCCCAGTGTAGAGTTTTGTTTTTATATGGCCTGGGGGCCGCGGTGACTCAGTGAGTAATATGTTGGCTTGCTAACCTGCGGCCCCGTTTTCTATGTCGGTGTTCGCAGAGAAAGTTCTTCTGAATTTTCCGACTTGATTCCCATGGGCGTGGTGCAGGAGCAGGATAGTTTCAAAATCTTGCCCCTTGCTGCGACTGGCATAACAAATACTGTAATATACCAAAACACTCCTGTTACCGGATTCCCCCCTTCGTTATTGTCCATGATGCGTAGCTTTTTCAATTGGATTCCTCATATCGTTATTGCCTATGGGACCATCAAAAGGGCATGGTGCGTAGGTCTTTAATGGGATTCCCATCTCGGCATTGCCCATAAGACCATCAAAAGGACAAGATGCGTAGGTCTTTAAATTGGGTTCTGTATCTCGTTATTGCCAACAAAAGGTCAGGGTGCATGGGTTTTGAAATGGTATTCTTCATATGGTATTGTCCATGGAACCAAAAAAAGGGCAGGGAGTGTGAGATTTAACCGATGATATTGATTCACATATGTTCACAAACAGCAGAGTTTAAAATTTCCGTATAGTTTGGAAGTAATATAGGTAGAAAGTAGTGGTGTTTGGGTTGGGGTTGGGATGGGGTGGTATATGGTAAATTAAGCATTTATGTCAAATCAGAATTGGTCAAAGAAATTTAATTCAATGTACGTACTCTTGTTAAACAAATTGCAATGTTGAAATATAAAATACAATATGTTTTAGTAAAATAGTGTTCCGTGTTATACGTTATAATACTGTAAATACCCCTTATATAGCCTCTTGTGGTAAATAGTGCTATGGTTATAGAATACACTACTTCATATAAAGTATGGTTATATTAATAAAATGCAGTATCATATAATAAACAGCATTGTATTTAAAAAAATAAAATAAAAATTAGCATATATTAAATATTTTTGTAATTACCAAATATATTCCTATAGTAAATAGTGTCATCCTGCGATCCTGTGATACTTTCTCGAGATCTCAATTTAATGTTCTCGAAATACCCTAATAAATTTCTCGAGAATCTCCCATCCTGCGTTAACGATCTCGAGAATTCGAGTTAATGTTCTCGGGATCTTGCCATCCTGTGTAAATTTTCGCGAGATCTCGGGTATTTTTATGTGTGCGCGTAGTTTTAACGTATTCTCAGCGCCCAACAACCTGTTGTTTCGGAGTTTACCCCCCCCCCCCCCCCACACACACACACACTTTCCCGAAAACCTTAATAGCACGATAGAGCCTACAGTTTTTAACCGTTTTGTTTCAAATTTTGTGCTTTAACAGATTTTCGATATTCAGTGTTCCGCGACAAGGATAACCCCTGTTAATTTTCAGCAATATAAGATTTCTGTCCCAGAGAGATAACAAGCACGCGAACACGATAGAGATTAGATTTCTTGATGAATGCTAGACCCTTATACAATTTATTAATCAACCAAGTTTTCATTTCGAATAATCTGCTGTTGATGCATAGATGCTGCGTGGGCGTATCTCCACACTTTGCGTGACTATCGTTAAAATTTCTTTTGAATCATCAGTGTCACAAGCAGAGGAACCCTATTTATTTTCGGCGGAACAATGAACCTTATTGATTTGCAGCGCTCCCTGAAGTTTTGTTATGGCGTTATTCCTATTTTCCGGTAATCCTTGTGAACGCGTTAGAGCCCAAAGTTTTTCAAGATTTTTTATTTACAAATCTGCTCCGAAGCATTTGTGCCACAAGACAATAAACGCTCTGTCTAGCTTTATTCTAAAACAAAATATGGTCCGAAAACCATGCAAAATTTTCAATTAAACGTCCTCTTCTCATTTAAATTGAAATAATTTAACAAGCAAGTCTGTAATTCGAAGCTTAACACATTAAAGCTAACGTGGTAGGGTTTTGAATTTCATATTTGGTGTGAAGTATTGGGGCCATGAGACGAAGAACCCAATCGATTTTAACCATATTTCAAATTTAGTGTAAATCATGGGTACCATATCGATTGTCCGTTTATTCTTTCATTAATAAGCAGTTTTCCTTTGTAACAAATGTTAGAGTATTTTTTTTTTTATCAAATTTGGTGCGAAGTATTGGGACAATGGTTGCTTCACAACGTGGAGACACTGTCATATAAGGTTTCATATTAACTCGTGATCTCGAGAAAATTTACAAAGGATGTCAATATATAGAGAAAATTTACATAGGATGTCAATATCTCGAGAAAATTAACTCGAATGCAGGACGGAGGGGCTGACAAGGAAAGCTGTCTAGTCGTTCGGATGGGACGAAAAACCGATGTCCCGTGTAGACATTGGCGTGCACGTAAAAGATCCCTTGGCAGTTGGAATTCGATATAAGAGAAGGCCGTAGTGCCGCTGTCCGGGCAAAATTTCCCTCATAGCACACTGTATGGCGTATGCCCGTCTTCATTAGCCCAGGTTAGGAGCAGAACAGTAGGACGTTAAACTCCATTTCATTTCATTTCATTTCGAGAAAATTTACACAGGATGTCAATATCCCAGGAAATTATACCCTTCCGTAATATCATTTTACAGTAAAAAAATCATTATCTCTCAAAATATAAGTTTCTATGGTAAATTTCTTAACATTCAACTGCATAATTGTATAACAAACATCTCTATATTTATAAAAGACATGATAGTATTTTTTTTAAAAATACCCTATCATAAAAAAATAGTGCTATATTTATCAAATACAGACAATGTAGTATCTTATATAAATTCATTATACACAGTAAACAGAAACCCCAATATGCTTTAAAGACTCTACACGACAAAAAAATAGATCGAGTAACCTTTGTATGAAAAGGCTGGCGAATTAATACGAATAAATCTAACACTACACTGTTAAAAATAAATGTAAAATTACAGTGAAAAATATGTAATTTCTTTAACATAACGCTGTAAAAATACCACTGCATGTTTTTATGCTATAAATTTACTGTATTGGTGAGGTAACATGGGTTTACGGGTAAAAAAAATTGGATATTAACAATAAAAGTGTAGTTTTACAAGTTAGAACTGTATTTTTGTTACATGTAACCTGTGTTGATACACCTATGTCTTTTAACGAACAGTTTTTATGGGTAATTCTACTGTTCAAACATGTCTAAATACGGGATTTGTGTACAATTTACAGGAAACGTGTAATTGTACATCTCTTTAGAACTTTAACATTACGTTTCGTGTATAGTCCACTTACGAAGGGGTCACAGTGGCTAAGTAGGTAAGACGATGGCTCGCTACCCTGGAGGTCGGGTGTTCGATCTCTGCATTGGCCGAGAAAATTCATCCAGATTTTCCGGCGTGGTTCCCCCTTGTCAGTGATGCAGGACGGAGGGCCGTACAAGATCCATATTAAACTGTTAAAATTATATGTATATTTACAGTTATAAGTATACTTAAAATATCACATATGTGTTAGCTCACATTTAAAACGATGTAAATGCATATGATTACAACGCTTATGTAAGATTACATAAAACTTAATGTAGAAATACAACCATATGTCAGTTTACTTTATGTGAGCTATATATTAACAGAAATGCCATTTGAATTATTATTTTTACAGCAAATTGTAAAGTAATTGTCAAATAGTGGCCACATCGGTTATTCCCGCTTTAAACTGTTAAAATTATATGTATATTTACAGTTATAAGTATACTTAAAATATCACATATGTGTTAGCTCACATTTAAAACGATGTAAATGCATATGAATACAACGCTTATGTAAGATTACATCAAACTTAATGTAGAAATACAACCATATTTCAGTTTACTTTATGTGAGCTGTATATTAACAGAAATGCCATTTGAATTATTATTTTTACAGCAAATTGTAAATTAATTGTCCAATAGTGGCCACATCGGTTATTCCCGCTTTGGCCACATGTAAGATTACCTCAAACGTAATGTAGAAATACAACCATATGTCAGTTTACATTATGTGAGCTGTATATTAACAGAAATGCCGTTTAAAATAGTATTTTTACAACAAATTGTAAATTTACTGTCAAATAGTGTTCAAATCGGTTATTCCCCTTCGATCACTTATCGAATTTTGTGCAAAATATTTACTGTTGTGTCAATAAGATTAGTCTATTTTAGAGAAATAGGTTATTCAAAATCTGAATGCACCTAACTGGCGTATAAAAACAGGGATATGCCATACATAGGGTTGTGTGGGACATTTTGCTTCGTGTCATGCCTCCTACTCTTTCCACTGTAAGAAGCAGAACAGTAGGACGTTAAACCACATTTTATTTAATTTCTTTCCACTATCGAATGATGTTTTGCCTGCTCAGCTGAAACGTCCGAAAAACTTTGTGTGTTCGCCAGGGATCGAACCTACGACTACTTAGCCGAGTGGGGACAAACACATTCCCTTTAAAAATGTCACCGTTTCAAAGTATATTCCAAGTAAATATACACGTCAAATTGTATTTTTACCGTAAAATGACTGGCAGAAAGTTGCCAGTCAATTTACGGTAAAAATACACAAAACTCATTTACAGTGTAATCTACCACTACTCACTCTTCCATTTATCCTACAAATTCCTTGCTGTTATACCATTGTAAATGTTATTCCACAACTGAGGATCATCGTCATAAAGATGGTTTATTTCATACCTGTAAACATTCTCCTCATTAACTGCTTCAAGAAAGTAATCTATATTAGTAGGTATATCCATACCCTTATCTATTATCAACATCAATCTGTTGGGTGTGGTTAAAGTTATAAACGACAAGCATACAGACATCGTATAGGCTGAAAAAACGTCAGCAAGCAATCCAGGAGTTAAAATTAAAACCACTTTCCAACTGGAATCCATGGAGTTATACAGCTCCTGGGGCTTATCTCCGCCAATAGGTTCATCTTTATGACGAAGATATAGTTTTAATCCACGTCGCACTTCAAGTTCCTGGTACATATTATGACACACCCACTGGTAAACATCATCAGCATAAAGAACACATACATCATAAGCAAACTCTTCTCTCGTCTTGGGTTGAATATATCGTCCAATCATTCTTAATAAAAATAATTTTACTTTCAGTTTATTCTTAACGAAAATAAAACAAGTCAGTAGAGCAAGTAATATAACACTTGATCCAGTAATAGATATAGTAAACCAAGTTCCAGAAATACAATGTTGTTGAAAGTCTCGGTAGTGCCTGTACACGTGGTTAGTGTAGATTCTCTCCCCTTTCCAATCTACACAAGAATAATTTCTACCATCTAGATCCACTCTGGTCTGAATGAACCAATCTAACATGTCAGAATTTTCACAAATACATGCAAAGGTGTTTCCGTAAAAAGATACATGAACCCTATTACCTTTAGAAAGTGCATCTAATGTGTTTCGGGTTTGTCCATCAACAGTTACTAAAGCGTTGAAACTAAGGAATATAGACTCCAAGTTGACAAGATGCGTTAGATCTGGGACACTAATTAAATTATTATAAGACAGCGATACAACCTGCAGCTCTATCAAATCATCAAATATATCGTGGGGCAAGCCAGTTAATAAATTATTTGTCAGATCTAGATTTTGCAACTTTTTCAAGGGTTGAAACAATCTTTTACCAATATTAAAAATCTGATCTGTATCAAAATTTACACGACTTAATCTTAACGTAGTTAAATTAGGAAAAGTATCAAAAAAGGATTGATTTATATACCGACAGTTATCTTGGCTTAAATCAAGTACATGTAAATTTTCTAAACCTGAAATAATAGCCTCATTATAGAGAGTTAACATACTATAGGAAAAATTAAGATGAACCAAATTTGATCCTCCGATGAAATGAACGTTTGGAGTTGTGCCAAGGCGTGCAGCTAAACCATTTAAATAAAGATATTTCAGTTTAGGTGGTAAATACACCGGAATAGATCCGGGGCGAGAAGGTGGATGGGGTTTGTCAAATTCTGTGTTACCATCAAGACTAAATTTTAATTGTTTAGAAAGATCAAGATATTCCAGATTTTCAAACCGGGGGAATAAAAGGTAAAAATCTATCAGATTGGTTACCTTTCCCAAAATCATATTGTTTGAAACGTCAAGATGCCTAAGACACTTGGTCAATGTTGGTATGGGAAAAGTTAAAAACTTTGAAACATCGCACATAGATATGGCATTATAACGTAAGTCCAATGACCAGATGCAAATATCAGAGATAAGTTCTACGTTAAAATCATTCCCAGCAGATGTGATATATCCCACATTCGGTGAAAACCCAGTGGCTTTTACAGATTTGAGTGTTCTGTTTTTAAACACTTGTAACGTTTCAAGCACTTTAGGAAATGGTAGTAAAGATGATGCGGTTGAGGATAAGATAATATTTTCTAATTTCAAAAAAGGTGCAAATGCATTCCGTTCTATATCGTATAATAAACATTTTCCAAATTAAGGGTTAAAATTGGAACTGTCTTAAATACTGTGAAAGTGCTATTTGTGACGTAGGCTAGCTGACAATCAAACTTAACATCATCTATATATGTTTCCGATAAATCAAGCTGTTTAAGATTTTTTAGTTCTGAAAACCCGACATTAAATTCAATTGCATCGATATCAAGTGACTCCAAACTGCTTAAATGGCGAAAACCTTTGCTTGAGAAAATGTTCGCAGGGTTCTTCAAATGTGATCGGATACTCAAACGTTTCAGGGACTTCAGTGGTTTAAGGGATTTATCTGGCAGTGCACTTTCCGAATAGTTCAGATTATGTCCATTTAATTGTATCTCGTGTAGCTGATTGAGGTTGTTGAAGGCATCTTCCTGGATTTCCAGTATGGGGTTGAAATTTAAATTTAGATATTTTAGATTAAGTAATTCAGAGAACTGATTGTTTAAAAGATGCCGGATGTTATTGTTATTCAGATACAAGGATGTTGTGTTTATCGGTAGATTTCTAGGAACTGTAGAACAAACCCTATGAGAACAATCAACTTTAATACCGCGATATTTGTCGTCTTCACTGAAGGTACATTTTCTGCTAACCTCTGAAATGTCTTCTCCACGAACTTCAACCCAAACCAAAACTAAATAAATAACCATGGCTTTCCTTGTGTTAATTCTGGGGTTGGTCTTATTCTGAAAAGGGAAATTAGCCACATACATTTAAATTTTCTGTTATCTAAAAGTGTAAACGTTTGCACAAGAACATCACAAAGCAAAACAAATACAAAGTATTATGTTACAGGACTCATAATTGAATTTTTTACCTGGACGTATTTTCATTTATGTATTTATCTACCGTAATAATAGAAGTACTTGTAGTTTATCAGCTTTAATATAATATATACCCCCTACTAGAAGGATTTATTAGAGCGCAACATACTTCCCTGACGAACAGCAAATGGAAGGTTTGTAAACAAATTCTCGGTCTCCCGTGATATTTTGGGATCTTAAGACGAGGAAGCTAATTGAGGGTTCATTAGGGTGCCCCACGATAAATACATATCTCTCAATATATCGATAATTATACCACCATATATTCATATACATATATAAAACTTACCTTAGTTTCCCCCATGTTACATATATTTAAAATACAAAAGACGTAACTGAAACCAGCTCTGACTGATATATATATCAAATCCGACTGAATTGACAAATCTGTGCTCCAAACGGATATTCCTAAAGGACAATATTGGTGTCAGTTATTATCACTGACACATATTATATGTGGTAGATCTGGTTCAACACGTTCCAAATACAATTTTAACACAGAGATCATTGCTACCATATATATGCGTAATTATTAGTGAGCAGAAATTCGCCCGTGTATCTGTTATCACTTGTCACTTCAATCAGCTATATAGAAAGATAACTCTTGTTTTTCTTATTCTTTTTGTCACTTCCGTTTCTTGAAATTTTCATTACGCATCTATCGTAGCAATCATCTCTGTGTTACAAAAATATTTGGAACGTGTTTAACCAGTTCTATTTTCTGAAACGGCATTCTTAAATTAATTCCTCGTGGTTTTCTCCGGGTCCTCCGGTTTCCTCCCACTGCTAAAGACCCCTACGCGCAAGCGAATTATTGAAATAAAATTAAACCATATGGTAGTCCCGAAATGACCTAGTTTGTGTCGAGTGGACGTTAAACCCCATTTCTGTCTTTCTCTCTCTTAAATTAATTTCATCTTGTTTTAGAATTAGTTACCTTCCTTACACTTTGTTTATGATAATGTAAAAGACCAGATAATCTAGCCAATGACCTATTATTCTCAACGCGTCCAGACTAATATTCGTGGAATATTTTTCTGGATGATAGAGACTATGCTAAACCAGTCTACTGACTTTTTTCAAGCTGGATTATCGAGATTATCGTGAGTACGGCAAGTCAAAGAGACCTTATAAAAGCAAGTGAAGAAACTACTATTTTTCTATTGTTGCTGACGGTGCCATCTTTGGTGATGTAAATTATACATTAACAAACCATAGCACAACCCCCCCCCCCCCCCACAATTTTCCAAGGTTTTTGTCACAACTTAAATATCAATGTAATTCAGGCTCATTAAGATTGGATTTTCAGGTCATTACTTCTTGATACATGGGAGCCGCAGTGACTTGGTGAGCAACACGCTGGCTTGCTAACGAGAATGTCTCGGGTTCGCTCACGGTGTTGGCCGAGAACGTTTCTCTGGGTTTTCCGCCGCGGGTTCCCCGTCAGTGGTGCACGTCATGGGGCCTGACAAGGTATAACGTATAATTGTTCAGATTGGACGAAAACCTGATGTCCTGTTTACACATTGGCGTGCTCGTAAAAGCACCATTGAGTTGGAATTCGGTATAAGAACCACTGTCCCCATGTTCCTTAGGCCAACAGGTTTAGAAAAGTAAGACGTTAAACACCATTTCAACCCCTTATACCAAGTTATGGTGCCCTTGTGTGATTTTTCAAAATGTTTGGGGGGTTTTCTGTTTTGTTCTTCATATTTTTCAAAATATCTTTTCGCTCCCTCGGGCCATTGCTTCGAGAATATCCAGGTAATTGTAATTATAACATCCTGCGTTATTCCCTTTTGTTATAAAATCTTGTTAGCCTCGAATTAGTTCATCACTCTTCAGATGACTTGGGTGTGTTTCATTACCTGGCAACCTATGTTTATAGCATCCATCCGATGTCATTTATAGGCCTACAGTGTGTACAGATATAAAAAAGGGGTTATTGCAATGACCAACATGAGCTGATCATGTATTTATACTGTGTGTACAGATATAAAAAAGGGGTTATTTCAATTAACAACATGGGCTTATCGTGTATTTCAAATCATACATAATTTGTAGGCTAAGAGTGCTAATTTTCGATAAATGAATGTTTTGTCAGCTGACTTGATTGATAAAATAAAAACAAAAACGCACGTGATAAATGAATGTAGATACTTGTATCAACTAAAATGGCGATATCAACTACACACGAAAGTTCTCAGGATGAAGCCAATGAAGTCCAACTTAAAAGCGGTAGTTTGGCGTTGTCTAAACGTTTCTTTCAGCAGTTCGTGCGGGGTTTCGGAAGTGGACTAGCTCTCTATGCTGGGGTTAAAGTTGTCGCGGCAATCATGAAGAATCCTTTTCGGAAAGGGTGAGTGCTCGTTTTTGTACGTCCCTAACTATAGTTGCATACCTGATATTACATATATATATATATATAATATATATATGGATGGTTATGGCTCTCTGCACTGATCGTTATGTTTGCTATAAAGAAAATATATGACATCAAAGTATATGTCAGTATGCAATATAAGATAACGTCAACATATCATCCCAGTTTTATCAATGTGGGGTTTGATTGACCTCGACCCGTAGAACGTGACCTCGTTGATTTCAGTGAAACATTAAAGTATTACTTTGATTAAAATTTGTTTTGATTTTCTATCTACATTACATTTCACCCAGAGTAATTTGCTTGTCACCAGTTTAAAGCAAGCATAGGTTATTAGGCAACGAAATGGGTTTGTCGGTCGCAGATACAGAGTATTTATCATTTATCTTCTTGTTGTCATGTCGTATTGTTTCATCATCTGTTTTCTGTATATATTTGCCTCACATTTTTGTATTCCTGTATTAGCTTGAAAACGTTGGTCTTCGATCCCTGCTTTGGCCGAGAAAGTTCATTCAGATTTTCCGGCGTGGTTTCCCCTTGTCAGTGATGCAGGACGGAGGACCTGACAAGGACAGCTGTCTAGTCGTTCGGATGGAACGAAAAACCGAGGTCCCGTGTACACATTGGAGTGCACGTAAAAGACCCCTTGGCAGTTGGAATTCGATATAAGAGTAGGCCGTAGCGCCGCTGCCCGGGCAAAATTTCCCTCATAGCACAGTGTATGGCGTATGCCCGTCTTCATTAGCCCAGGTTAGGAGCAGAACAGTAGGACGTTAAACCCCATTTCATTTCATTTTAAAAACGTTGAGAGAATATTCTTCGAAACGTCGCCCAAATAAATAAGTAGCTGTTTTTCCATAAGTATGTGTTATAGTTTATGAATGTGAAGTCGGTCGGACGATATTTCGCCAGTCCAAACGCAATTATGTGTTATAATTTATAAATGTCAATTTCAAGCGCAATAATACTGAAAGTAGCTATCCTAAAATATGGCAATTCTAAAGACGTCTTCTATTCGTTATTGGACTATGGTGGCATTAGCTAGATTTATATACGACAAACGTATAGATACTTCTCAGTGAAATAACAATAGATTTCCATTCACGATATAATACATCATGTTAGTACTGATAACTGACTGATATACTATTTCATATATAAACAGATTACCGGGATTGGGAAAAGATATACTATGTAAAGATGGTGCCAGGTTTGCTACATTTCTCGGTTTATATCCTAGTATATATCATCTATCTGTTGATTTACTACAAAAAGTGAGAACAACCAAGGTAAAAGTATGATACGTTATTAGCCATGTGAGGTGGTATCAGGTGTTCTAGATATGGGTGGTGGTATGGTCACAGCACAATCTGATTAAAATACAGATCTATATTTCGTTTCGTTTTTTTTTTATACTTTCGATAATCTTCACTATATGGAGATCTGACCAGTTGTAGTGGGAGGTCGCCGCAGGGTTCATACGATCGAACTTTAGCCCTATGGCGTCAGCCATTTGATTAACCAATCAGAGTTGATGTTTCTAGTGGAATACCCACAGTTCCATGCACTCCGCACTAAGAACTCGCCACACAAGACCGTTTCATTGGCTAATCCTTCTCATCAGCCAGAACTCGGATTATATAATAGCTCTTCCTGATCCTAGTGTAACACAGACAAGTAAAACGAAATTTTGAACTATAAAAAACGAATCGAAATAGGATCTGTGTTTTAACAGATTGGTCGCAGTAAAGAAGGATACGATTTCTTAACGGTGTCCCAGGTGGGGTTTAGAACATGCAACAAGAAGTGACAAACTAAATAATTGGTTATCAGAAGGTCGCAAATAAATCAAGTATTTAGTATTGTCCATATTATAATCATGGTTAACGGGGAGGGGGTTGACTGGGCTGCAGCCAGGGGGCCCAATATTAAAGGGGACCCAAAATTAGTTTTTAAAGACAATTTTTGTATCATAACTAAATATGTCATTTATTATGAATGGTGTATATATTTGTGCCCAGTAATCTGTCCTATTTACTATACAAACAAATTGCATTTGTGTGAGTGTGCCGGACAATGACCAGAATATGCTCTCTTTTTACTGTAGATGCAAAGTGACATTTTCAGACGGTGGTCGCTATTTAAGTTTCATCCGACCCTGCATAAAATAATAAGTATGGTGTTCCTTATGATGCTTTCCAAGAATGGCAATGGCGCGAAATATGAAATAGAAATAGGAAATATACTGCAGCATCCCCCACCCTCCACACAACTGAGACGTTGGTTTAAACTTGGACTTTTGAAAACTAAATTTACTGATATTGTCTGACAAAACAGAAAAGTTTAGCAAACATTGTTAGCTCTGTGAACAAAATATTATTCTTCATGGCAGCTGCTTTAGCTGAATAACAAGATCAAATGAAACAAATCCTTAAGGAGAGGTTGGTGTCCAATCAACGAGAGAAACGACAGCAAGTGAACAGGGGCCTGTTTCACAAAATTTTAACTAAGATAAAATCCAGATTTTAGTAATTTGAATGGATAGTATTAGATTGATTTTAGTGCTTAGCCAATCAAAATTGAAGTATCTACTAAAATTTGGATTTTATCTTTAGTTAAATTTTCGAGAAACGGGACCCTGCATAAAAATATCAAATCGTTGCTAGATAAGGGAGAGAAATATTTCTGGAATGACATTGTTATTATAAAACAAGGTAGTCTTTGACTGAATATTAGATATTTTAACATTTGTTTGTAGGATGGTTGGAATCATGGACTAGCAGGTGGAATAGCAGGTTTATCTATTATAGTTGAAAGCGATTTAAGAAGAAAAACTGGTTCCTTGTTTGCTATAGCTAGAGCTCTTGGTTCAGGATTGACTACTTTAGTCAAACGTGGTCACCTCACCAGGATACCCTACTGTGAAACCATATCGTTTTGTTTGAGCTGTGCCTTTTTGGTATATTGCACAGCTCTAGAACCAAATCTCTTGTCAAAAGGATATTACTATTCTATATTAAAGTGGTCAAGAGATTATACCGATGCTAATTTATCCCTGTTGTTTCGCAAACCAGCCGAAAGTTTTATTTCTTGTCAAGCAGCCGGATTACATCAAGAATCTTGCACCCACCACGCGTTCAAAGATTTTTGTCTCAGTTTTCCTGCATTTGCTAAATTATATTTACCAATCCATGCAACCCCAATGTTACTCTTCAGAAGAAAGGTTCTTTTTCAGAAGTAAGTTTTTTTTCCATTGGGTTAGGCGACTGGAAGAATTGTGTATTTTAAGATGACATATTTTCCATAATTTTACGTGCCCCAATTCTTCTTGAGATTTAATCCTAAACGATATTGCTTAGGCTGATGATATTAATTTTTAATATTCTTTCACATATTACCTCATCGTTATCAAATAGACGTAATACCGAGGTCCCATGTACACATTTGCATGCATGCACGTAACAGGCCCATCGAAACGAATTCATATGAGGTGGGGTGGGAGTTTCTGTCATCGTTGCGACGTCAAAACCCTGACATACACGTATTTTCAAATTATTGGGTTCAGTCCCCCCCTCCTCCAGTCCTCCGGGTTCCGACGACCCTGCGTAAGAGGGCCCTTGAGAGGGAAAAAATGTGCTGGGTCGAGACCCCCCCCCCTCCCATCTCCATTAGCCAGGATGTGTTAACTATGTCAAGCTGTTTCTGGTGTGATCCTATTTAATTTATGACATTAGTTTTAACCAATATGACTGTTCTACATTTTAGTTCAAATTTTTAAAAACTTTGTTGCATTATATTTTTCAGGCCTCTTGTTGAATTGCTAACTCTTGTTAGGAATTTAGCTATGTCAAGTGCCTTTCTGGCTACTATGGTAATGTTGGCTAAATATGGACTTTGTGTTTTGAGAAATATTCGTGGAAGACCACCACCGATTCCACCACTAGTTCCGGTTGTGGCTGGATTTATTTGTGGACTTGGAATACTGTTTGAAAGAGCTTCGCGAAGAAAAGAACTCGCGCTTTTTCTTATTCCCCATACTCTCTATGCATTTTACCTCCTGGTAAAACAATCAAGACTCAAACCATTATTAGTACTACCACATGGATTCGTTGTTATGTTTTCTGTATCAATGATGGGTATTATGCATGCTTATGAAAGAGAACCAAGATCTTTGACACAACTGACACGTGGAATCCTAAACCTTTTTGTTGGTAAACATAAGCAATAAAGATTAATAAAAACTATTATGTACATATATTTAAATTAATAATTGAGACATTTTGAGGCAAGGACTGACATGGGTGTAATGATGCAAAAAAAATGTATCGTGATGTTTTTGTTTAAAATTAGTTTTTGCGCACGACACTGCTAAAACGACAGATTTGAAACCATACAAATATAAAAAGCCCATCTGGTCTCAGATCAAGAAATATTTTCACAAGCTAAGTGAGAAAATCCCTTGGCGATTTCAGTTTCAGAAGGAAATATATTTACAACTTTAACATATAGAATTCATTGGTAGGTTTTAAACGAAGTTTTAAAATAACGATCTCTTCTACGGTTAATCTATAAGCTCGATCCGAAAATTTCGAAAGTGGCGCTAAAATAGGAAATTAATTGCAGATAGCGGCAACAGCTTAAAATATGGTTTTCAGCTATTTAATAATTGCTCAGGAGAAAATGGGTTGTCATTTGAAACAGTGAGAGGACATCATTTCGAACCTGAATATTCCTACGAGGAACTGGTTGCCTCGATTAGAGGAAAGCCGTGAAATCAATATCAAACAACCAGTGCATCACCTTGTGCTGCTATGAAAAATAAACTAAAATGATATTTCTAAAACAATAGTAACTTTACTCTCTTGTCCATACTGCTTATATGTGCTCTAAAGCCGTAATGGGGCGACCTTTATTTATTACATACTGTATTATATTGATTTTCACCTGACGTAATAAAAATTATTGTAAAACATGTGATTGTTGTGTATTTCTGCGCCGGTTTGCACTTCAGTTTTCAAAGAGTGGTTGTCGTTGTACAATAAGGTTGCTGTTATGTTGAACAGTTTATATGAATCTTATTCGTGACTCGACCATCGGACAGAACCAAATATGTAATAAAAAAAAACGTCTGTGTGCAGTGGTCGGGTATCGTGCTTGTGGAAAGGTCTAATTTGCAAAGGGTACAACTTTAAGCTTTTCTCGAATTAAAATCGCCCAAAGAATTATTTAGCCAAGGCGCGCCCATGAATATATGTCGGAAGTGAAATAGGGTTTGCGGCATCTGTCGACCGGCGTTTGCGGAATCGAAATTTTGAAGGCTAGACCCATATCTACCTAAAGCTACCAGTATTTCAACTTATATTATTTTAATTACTTCCATGTTTCATTGTTTGAACGTTCATGTTGCCAAATATTTGATTTTTAGATTACAATTATAGGCCCTTACCCTATTTGTGTCAAAATCGGACTTTGACGCGGAATTAGTAGCTATTGGAAAGGGATATAACTCGTGTATGACTGTCTTGGCCATATATCTATTTTTTTAGTGATAAAACTAAATATTTATAGATTCTTTGTTTCAGTTTAAATTAGACCTTTAGCCTCAAATCCTATCAGAAAATAAAGATTTTTTGAGGGAGAACTTGTTGTTATATCCTTTTCAGTTTATCAAATAAATTGTTTAAACTAAATACCGTGATCAATTAATTATTGATTTTTTCCATAAATTGTACCTTTAATGGATTTCCAAAATTCCGTATGTTCCTTGTCCTTTGTGTTTTCGGCATTTTAGTTTAAATCAAAATTTAACCAATACCATATTCTTTGCCAAGGATGAAGGCAACAGTATTGTCGCCAATGTTTAGTTTTATGACAACTTCAGAATTGTTAGTATAAATAAAGCAATTGTGACGATTTCACCAGACCCTAAATCGATTTATTACAAACATTTTCTTGGAGCTCTCGGATTTTTGTTCCTGGTGTTGTAAGCTTTCTCAAAAGCTATAGATTGTTTAGTTACGAGGACCCGGAGGTGAAATTTCACTCTAGAAATTTTGGCTGGCTTAATAAAGCCTATATTATTTTTAACCTATTTGGTTAAAGTACGTGTATTGGGGTCATGAGAGAACGAACCAGATCGATAAACAGCTTTCCGGGTACCCCCCCCCCCCCTTTGTCGATAGAGTACAGTTTATAACAGATTTATTTCAAATTGATTGTGTAGCATTTGGGTCATAAGAAGACGAGTCTATCAATATTCAGCATTCCACAACCTTCTGTTTCGGAGTTACCAGCTTTTGTCGAAAATCTTCGGATTTCAAATTTGGTGTGTAGCATTGCGGTCATGAGAGGGCGAACCAGTGAATATTCTGCGTTCCGTTCCGAGGTTCCCCCCCCCCCATTTTCTTTGTGAATGCGACTGAGGCTAGAAAAAAAATTCTAATTCGGTGTGAAGCATTGGGGCAATTCGAGGGGGTGAGTCTTGTTGATTTTTTCCTGTTCTCCGTCCATCTATTGCAAAATTTTTGGGTTATCTTGCATGTCATTCCCTCGTTATATCTTTTTATTCATTATGTTTGATAATGGAAAAATGAAAGAGAACATACAATATTAACTATTATTTAAAATGCGAGCATTGAAAACACTTCCGACTAAAATATTCCCTTATGGATTAAGACTAGTAATTATTGTAGTGCGTGTTATAAATAGACAATTTTTCCCTTAATTTTTTTCTCCCCTCTATCTGCATCTTTGGGTTGACTTTTTGGTCTAGAATTGGAGAAAAGGGATCTAATTTGCAATTTCATAGCAGTTTTGGGTAATACTGATGATCTTACAGCGGAGGGATAGGGGGTGTAAAGTGTCTTTCTGCAGAGCAATCATTGTGTCGGAAGTAAGATTTTCACCCCTGTCAACATTAAATCCCCGTAGCAAAAAACCTAAATGGTCAACCCCCTACAAATTTATGATGGGGATATTGCCAAATGTGGTCCCCATTGTGCCTATAAAGATTGAAACCAACGGAATGTTGAGCAAATAGCTACAGCCTGTGATGTTACAGCCATTTAACATTGAAGTCAATGGGCAAATAATTGCTAGTCTGAGACCTTATGTGTACACCCGCTTATTATAAAGTACAAGGTTGGGAACCACTGGGCTACATGTACCAGTCATACACTGAATCTGCGTTTACTATATCATATCATAGCTTTATTAGTTTATATATTTATTATAATCGTCCGGCTCTTATTATTTGATCATTGGCTCCTGGTGTTGGGTCAATACAATAGTCTGGTCACAGCGCATGCGTTGCAAACGAAGGGCTAGGTTTGACTTAATTAAAAACGATAGGGTCTGCTTGTACAACATTCTACCAACAGAGAATTTACGTCGTCTCCATACATCTATCAACATGGCTAAAATTGAATTTGTATTTATTATCTCTCTTGTGATCAGTACAATTTGTGGTAAGTTTAGAAACAATTTTCTTAATTAATAAATGTTGTGTAATTTTGTTAGTTTTCCACACTTGGAAGTTTCTGAGTAAAACGAAAACCGAGAAAAGACGGAAAGAATAGTTCCGACTTTCGTCCTGTACCGATAACTCGGAATTTTCTTTGATTTCTAGGTATGCACATTAATCAATCTTTCATATTCAATCCTCCCTCCGCATTTATTCATAGTGATGATAATCAAATTTTGCCCTGCCTTTAATTGTAAGTTATAGCAGTCATCAGACACAAAGCTGCCAACGGGGATGAAGTAGTTGAGAAAGTCCGAATAAATGGTTTCTGTTTCGGTTATTTTGCTTGTCGTCTTTAAAGATTATATCCCATTTATAAATTCGGCGTTCCACGACCTTCTGTTCTAGAGTTGTCCAATGTGAAGCATTGTTACAATAAGAGGATGAGTCCTATTAATTTCCCTGTACCCCCGGCCATCTCTTGCAAAATGTGGGGTATCATGCATGGCAATCGCCGCTTAGATATATTGAATGAATAAAGGGTCCTTATCAAATGTGGTGATCAACCAGGTTTTTCTTTCGAATTAGCTGCTGCCTATGGCAATATTTTTTTCGAGACAAAACTGATGCGTGGGTGTATTTCCACGCTTTGCATAGCTATCGTTTAAAGATAATATATATATCGTCGCTTTGCATGGCTATCTTTTAAATATAATATATGAAGAAATTCATAGTGTATATAAATTAATCAGTACTACAATAAATAGAGATGAGATATATTATTTAATAGACAAGAGATGCTACAAATCCATTGCAGGTATTTAAATTATTTGATAAGACAGGAAAGTTGTGATTAGAGAACTTTGTTCAATCTACACAATATGTATCTTACAAAGAATTGCGACAGTGCCAAATTAAAAATACATCATGCACTTCCTACGACTTAATTATGGTCATTTATTTAATTATCATTTAGTAACCAGTTAACTGTTTCTTTTACCCACCTGTACGTATGTGTGTGTGTGACAATCGGATGGAAGAGTGTAGGACAATTATTAATATTTTTACTTAGGAGTTTGTGGGTTGTGCTGTCTTGTGTGCATTTTAAATACTCATATTTTATAATTCACTTAATTATGATCTAACTTTTTAATCCCTATTTAGTTTATCTGGAGTTCCTACTTCTCTGATGTTTAGTTTCATGTATGGTTTCCCTTTTGTTTGTTTTTTATGTTATTTTTATTACCTATTGTCAGTCTTTTACTATTCCTTTGATAGACCCTCACCTAGCCCCTCACCTCATGTATGGTTTATGATTTGTCATTATTGGTTGTCTAATTAAAATTATTTACCCCTATATTTAATTATTAATAACTCCAATGTTAATTATACCAATTATCAGTGGTCTCACTAACCCTTCATATGCACCTTGCCTTTGATCATGTTGTTTTCATGCCTTTGATCTTGTTGTTGTCATGCATGGATTCTGATTTGTTGTTATTACTTGTCTATATATAATTGCCCTACACATTTGTTACTGTACTTGCTTGAAAACGTTGAGAGAATACTCTTCGAACCGTCGCCTAAATAAATCAGTAATTGTTCTTCCAAAAGTATGTATTATAGTTTATTGCTCTATCCAGTTACTAAATGCCTCTTAAAAATCATTCCTACAACTTACTTACTTTCATAACTACAAAAATTATAATGCCTTGTTTCTATTATATATTACTTGAATTTATATTATACGCCCTATGATATGATCATTATTGATTATAAATTCTCATAAAATACACATCGTAAACATAGGCAATATTTTGTATCTTATATTAAGTTCTCTACTACAGTTCAACTAAGGGACTTATCTGAATTTAAGGAATTTATGTCTGATTGTTGTTTTATCACTCGATTGGCGCAGATTGTCCACAGCGACTTTGTCACCCCATAGCCACATTACTACGCCTCCTCTATCAGACAAAATTAGAAAGGAGCCTTTTCCAACATGAAAATCTTTGTTTTGTCGGCCTGTCTTATTGTATATGAACTTTTAAATTAAATTTTATTAATTACAGTCGGTAATATTCGCGGCCAAAGGTTGAACATAGAAGCAAGATTGGATAGGATAAATGAGGTAACTGACATAATATTTTAGGGCTTTTTTTAATATTTTTCTTATCTTATGATATTAAAGGAGTTTTTATTGATAATCATCACAGGTCATAATAGTCATTGAAATATAAATTCTGTGTTGGGGTGGGACGCCATTTGTTTTCTGGAATTTATCTCCTTTTTTTCTTTTTTTTTTAAATTTATCTCTTATACATTTTGTATGGGTAGTGCGTGTATTATTTTATGCACATACGACCAATGAAACACATAACTAAATAAATGGCCCTTGACCTCTTTGTAGAACCATGTGAACGCTATAACGGCCTATTGTAAAGTAATATGTGTTATTCAAATTATTTGAAAGGAACGATCCTTTGAATTGAATTTTCAACAATTTTGTATAATTACTTATACAGAAACTTGTCGACGCACCACAGATATTACATATAGACATTACTTAGTGGACATGTGAGTATTTGCCTGGCAACCTATCTTTCAAAGCTTTATAAGACATTGATGATATCCATATTTCTTTCTTTTCATGCAGGAATTTCTAAACGATGTAAACTGGCGGGGCGTAGTTGATCTAATAGGGAGATTGGAAAGTTATAAAAGTAAGATAAATACTACAATTATAAGGAATTAGATATAATTTTCAGCTTATGGCGGTCACATAAATAAAATGTCATGAAATAGTATACACACGACTGGTTTCATGAACTTCTATAATACGAAGTAAGAAAAACAAGTGCTGACCATGATAAATTACCAAATATTATAGTTGACTTATTTATATATTTTCAGGACAGTTTTTACGTTATGATATTGATCAATCTGGGGATATAAGTAAGTATTACAGCAAGTATATACACAACTTAACACAAGTAGTCATAGATCAACAATAATTTCCCCATTGACTTTTATGTTATTTCTCATCTCTAAGCATGTGGTACAGCATGTGGCAACCTCTTGCTCAAAAGCAAGTATGAGGTTTATAATGGAAAACTTGAGATACACAAACTGCAAGTAGACATAAATAAACACGCAATTTTCCGCCCTACATTTCAACCTATCCTTCCGCCTCAAAATCATGAATTTTCGCGAAAACCTGACAGAAAATGTATATGCAAACCCTTTTATTCAATTCTACACCAAAAGGTCAACAAAGATCGCCATACAAAATGGGGGAAAGGGGGAGAAAGACTAAAAAATAACTCTTGCGCTTGTTTCCTGGGTGACGGCGTAGGAATATTTGGTGAGATGTGTCCATGTCTCACCAGAGTAACGGAAATGAAATGAAAATGAAATGGAGTTTAACGTCCTTCTGATCTGCTCCGCCTGGGCTAATGAAGTCGGGCATGCGCCATGCAATGTACCACGAGGGAAAGTTTGCCCGGGCAACGGCACTATATGGAATTTCAACTGCCAAGGGATCTTTTAGGTGCACGCTAATTTGTACACGGGACCCTGGTTTTTCGTCCCATTCGAACGACTAGACAGCAGTCCTTGTCAGGACCTCATTCCTGCACCACTGACAAGGTGAACCAACATCGGAAAATCTCGATGAATTTTTTAGGCCAGCGAACCAGCGTCTTACCCACATAGCCACCTTGGCTTCCCAGAGTAACGTGTATCTGGAATAGCCAGGGCCGGGTTAAGCCTGCATGGGTCAGTGAAAAGGGTGGGTATTCCGGCGCATGCGGCGGTGCATTCCCCCTTGTTGCCTTAGCGAATCTGCGTAAATTTTAAGCCCCCCCCCTCCCATGTTAAATTCCAAACTAGAACTAATTTGGGATCCGCTTTAATATGTGGGCCCCTTGCTGCAACCCAGTCAGCCCCCATCGCCTTTAATCCGACCCTGGTAATAGTATCCATTGAACAGTCTGTAACGGACCGTGTGATGAAGGGGTATTCGAAGATGGGGCGACAGTAGTTGTGTTGGTATACATTTTGCGACAAGAGAGTTGTCTTAACAACCATCCCTAGCTCTCCTGGAAAGTACATATATGTATTATGGTCTTCGCACGCTGATCACTATTTCACACGTGCCATCCGAATAGCTCTTTGTTTTGTTTTCTTGTATCACAGGTAAATCTGCTACGTATTTGGGAACTAATGTATTGATGATAAATGAAAATCAATATCATATGTAGAATATAAAAATATTTCCAGATGTGATGGAGGTTAAAAATATGATGGAGATGTTGGGTCAAGCCAAGACATATCTCGAAATCAAAAAGATAATCGCAGAAGTGGACACAGAAAACAATGGAACTATTGGATACAGAGAATTTGTCACGATGATGCTGGGAAATCGTTCAACAATACTGAAAATGTAAGGCTTAACAAATAATGTTTTAAAGTGGTTGTCCGAAAGTCCAGTGCACATCTTGGATTATTAATGACTTGGTATAGTTTCTTAGGACACTAATACCAGTTGCTTTAGATTATCCTGGTTTATCCATAGTAAACCTATTAAATGGGTTTACTCATTCGTTAGTAATCAGCTATCCTAGTTTATCCATTAGTATCGCTATCCTAGTTTATCCATTTGTAGCGCTATCCTAGTTTATCAGTAGCGCTATCCTAGTTTATCCATCAGTAGCGCTATCCTAGTTTATCCATTAGTAGAGCTAATGTAGTTTATCCATTAGTAGCGCTATCCTAGTTTATCAGTAACTATATCCAAGTTTATCCATTAGTAGAGTTAATGTAGTTTATCCATTAATAGAGCTAATGTAGTTTATCAATTAGTATCGCCATCCTAGTTTATCCATTTGTAGACCTATCCTAGTTTATCTATCAGTAGCGATATCCTAGTTTATCAATTAGTAGCGTTATTCTAGTTTATTAGTAGTGCTCTCCTAGCTTATATTGTAGTGGCGCTAATCAAGTTTATCCATTGGTAGTGCTTTCCTAGTTTATCCATTGGTAGCGCTATCCTAGTTTATCTATTGTAAGTAGCACTAATCTGGTTTATCCATTAGTAGTGCTATTCTAGTTTGTCCATTAGTAGCGCTATCCTAGTGATGCATTAGTATTCCCATAAACGTAAACATTATTCATCCGTTACCGTTGTCATAATATAGTCCATCCACCAAAGTTATCCATAGGTAACCGCCTCAGCTTACATAAACTTTGAGCACTAGTTCGCCCATTAGTATATCCTTATACCGTCCCGTCCCCATAGTACATCCATTATTAATCCCGTTACCGTAATCCAGTGGGCAAACCTGTCAATCTAACTCAAGTTCATCAATCAGAAAAATCATGAAGTTTATCAGCTAGTATTTAAGCTTGCTTGCTTTTCTAAATAATTTTAATCATAATTTTGTATTCCAGCATATTAAGGTTCGAAGAGCTAAGACGAGAGCGTTAAAAACCACTAAGATTGCACAAGAAAGGGATTTCATTAGCTTACCATATAAAAACCTTTTGGATGCGTTCCTTATGCACATACGATTCTATAATAGTCATTGTAAAATGACTTCAGTTTTAACATGTTATTTTGTTATATCTATATATCTATATATCTATCTATCTATCTATGCTGTGGTATAATAATGGCAGTCTGTATTCTTACTTATTATATAAGCATACTGAAAGCATCAATAAAAGTCGTTAATGGACCGTCATTGTTGTTTATTACAATTTAAAGTTCAATACATTAATTCTATCATGTTCATGGGGGCCGTCTAGACCCCCGTCTTAATTTACCATCTTGAATTTAATGCATGCAATACTATTAACAAGGGCACATACAGGCGGTACTTTTTTAATTACGGACTATTTCAGAGTACGTAAATATACTACTTTTCCTCTCCTAAAACGTACCAAAAGCGCGTAATTGTAGGTATTGCCCCAAAGCGTATTTCTTTACAAAGAAGATTGCCCCACTACTTTGTATACTGAAAAATGCCCTGAAGCAAAGTACAAAACGTTCTTGCCTGTTTGCCAACATAACGTCCATTCGTTCGGCACCTTCAATGGTACATTGGACTAGTCCTGTTAGATCACCGTAGACATTCCAGTAAATGTTGAAAATATAGACTGACGTTGTGTGAATATTTAAGCCAAACTAATAAAGCGTTAGGGGTTTTTTTTGTACAATCTGATGCCATAGCATAATCCAGGATGTCACAGCCCGGCATGCGACAAAACCATGGTCCATGACAAAACCAAAAAGAACCAAAATCTTAGGATATAAACATTACATTTAGAGTTTCATCAAAATCGAATAACAATTGTGACATCTAGGTGGTCAACAAGCTAAAAACCTGATTTTTCATACATTCGGGGGTCACACTCCTAGAAGTTACGGTCAGATATCCGCGAATATAGAAAGGAGCCGAAATTTTTGGGGTATAAACATAAATTTCAAATTTCATCAAAATCGGATAAAAATTGTGACATCTACAGTGTCCACAACCTTGGTATTATATACTGTTACACTATTTGCACACGAGGAGCGGCCATTTTGTCTGGCAGTTGTGGTATTATATACTGTTACACTATTTGCACACGCGGAGCGGCCATTTTGTCTGGCAGTTTCGGTCCAATTTTCACGAAATGCGAACTCAACCGTCATTCAGGTGTAACGGTGATATATTTGAACGGTTTTCAAAATCGAATAAAAATTGTGGACTCTAGAGGGCCACAAGCTAAAAACGCGATTTTTTTGTATAATCAGAGGTCATAACCCAGGAAGTTACCGTCCCATATGCACGCATATCGAAAGGAACCGCGAGATCGTTGGGTTGTAAACATACATTTTAAGTTTCATAAAAATGGGATAAAAATAGTGACCTCTAGAGTGTCCACAAGTTAAAAACGTGAGTTTTCTTATAGTCATGGACCACAATCCGTGAAGTTACTGTCCGATACATAAACATTATTTCAAGTTTCGTCAAAATCGGATATGGCAAGGGACGTCGTATAATGGTTCAGATGGGTCACATTGACGTGCACCTTTGCCAGTTGGAATTCGATATAAGAATAGGACGAGCGTAAATGTCCGGGGAAAAATTTCGCTCGTAGCACATTGTATGGCTTATGTCCGTCTTCATTAGCCCCATGGGAGCAGAACAGTAGGACATTAAACCTCATGTCATTTCACTTCATTTCATTTACACTAGTTCCTGATGGTGCCATGTAGGTCATATTGCGTGTAAATATATAATGTTAAAAATAATACCTTCTACTTTATATATAAAGATATGTATTGTATATAAATTCATCATTACTACAATAAATATTATAATTTGCGTTAAAAATGACCTTTTTTTATCATAATAATTAGTTTTGACATTTAATAACCGTTATAATTTGCGTTAAAAATGACCCTTTTTATCATTATAATTAGTTTTGACATTCAAAATTAATGGCATTGTAACTAGTGAGAAGGACATCACTACACGGCAATTGTCTAAATATCGGTATTATAGGCAAATTAGAAAAAAAAATTGTCGGAAACAGATAACGAGGTGCGCCATGTTTCTTTTTCCAGTTTTGCTTTTCAGACAATCCCTCAGGTGGAGTTTGTAGGTTCAAAATGAAATGGGGTTTAACGCCCTTTTTTCCTGTACCGACTGAGCTAACGAAGACGGGTTTGTAGAGTCGCTAACACTAACTAAAACAGCCTTATCTCGTACGGGACCAATTCGCAGATACATTTGGACGTCAGAATGACCTAAGGATGCCTATTTGATCATGTCAATAATCATACCTGGTCGTGCCAGAAATGTAGAAAGGAAAGAAAGTTTTATTTCAAATTCTGCTAATGGATGCCAGTCAAAAGTAGATCCCACGTAAATATGAGAGAGAGAGAGAGAGGGAGGGGGGGTTAACGTCCACTCGACACAAACTATGTAATTTCGGGACAAACATATGGTTCAATTACAATATAATTCGCTTGTATGTAGATGTTAAACCCCATTTCATTTCATTTCTTTAGCAGTGGGAGAAAACCGGAGGACCCGGAGAAAACCCACGAGGTTGGACATACAAGTGGGGAATCGAAACAACACCACTTGGCTCCATGAGAGACGTTATGATTGAATACGCATGTGTTAACCAGCAGAAAAAAAATTAATATTGAAAGTTATAATTTACTTGCCCTGATGTTATCTTTATCAGTGATATTGGCAGCCATGCGAATGTGTCTAACATTAGTATATCATACAGAAGGTCAATTACAGGATCTTTTCACAGATATAGGACAAGCAACATCATTTGATTAAATCTAAATAAATATCACACAGTAAATATACTATTATTTATGATACATGTGAAGATCTTTTTATATATCTTTTGATTAATATAATTGTTTGACAATAAAAATGAAGGAGTACATACAACATTATTAATATCATTATTATTTAAAATCTACAGTAAATATAATACAATACTAGTACAATTATAGTATTTATTTTCACCCATTAGATTTTATTGACAACTAGGCCTACTATTGCTGAGTATGCCTTTTTATATAAAGAGTATTTGAATAAAATTATATAGACAAATCTGAGCATTTTTACTTTTTCCTAAAACTTTTAACACTGGAAACAATTTTCCCTTATATGTACATCCCCATCCCTACTTTAGCCACGGGTCCATACTATGACCTAATTCTGGCCTCTATTAACCCCAACTAAGAATGTCCCACGAGCAAAATTTTAAAATAGCATCCCTGGTCCATAGCCCTATTATGACTCTTTTGATAGTATGATGTCCAGCACCATCACCAAATAAAAAGTCAAATTTAAGTTTAGCTTTCTGAGCTACTCCAACTCCACCTGTCAATTTTAAATCAAACCTAAATGTAAATCTTAAAGTTCTTAAAGGTTCTGGGCCCTGTTTCTCGAAATCTTAACTAAAGATAAAATCCAAACTTTAGTAGATACTTCAATTTTGATTGGCTAAGCACTAAAATCAATCTAATATTATCCAATCAAATTACTAAAATTTGGATTTTATCTTAGTTAAAATTTCGTGAAACAGGCCCCAGGTTCTTAAAGTTATAATCATCAAGAATCAAAAGTACTCTACTCTTTTTCACCAAACACATTTTGATACAAAAAATAAATAAATGGAAGATTCACCTAAATTTATGACTATTTGAAATTTACCATTTCGATCGATTTATTCATATGAGGTAAATAAAGTAATAACAATTTTATATTATTCAATCATACAACACTGTTTATATTAACTAGGTTCTTAATTAGATTAGAATAATAGTCTTTACAATAAAATACTATATAGTATACATGTGGAGAAATTCTGAACCTACAACTTGTTGCCCTTGTTTAAAAACATCTGCTGTATAGCACAATGATTCATCTTTAGTCTTTATGTATGATTCATCACATTCTCAGACCTTAGTGCTTTCCATTTGTAATTTTTGGAAGATAGTCTTTTGGATCCAAACCCAGAAATTCAAATGCATTCGACCACAATAATTGATCCTGTAAAAAGACGGAGATAAATAAATGTCCAGTCACTATCTATTTATGATATATTTTCTTTCAATCCATTTTTAAACTTCATATTGAAATACATTTTTAACATTTGATTGCGGTAAATTTTTAGGAATCCATGGACTAATTGTCCAGAAATGTTATGTTACATTACATTATGAGCTATTTACATTCCTCACAGCTTAATATGTACTCAAATTGATTATTTAACATTTAAACATACATTATGCAAGAGCTAAATCTGCCTATCGCAGGTCTTTCTTTAGACCTGAAATCTTATCTGAATTATTAATTAGACATTAATTATCTTATCCAGACCATAATCAACTCTCGATGTCAAGGCTAGCCTTCGATATCGACTGGATTAGAATCCTATATGCTGCAAACGCTGATTGATAATTAAATCAAAACAATGGATAATCGAGACTATGCTTTTTAACGTACTAACTTTAGTAATGATGAACGAGGCTAGGCGGAAATTTACAAAGCTGATATTTCAACAAATTACCTTTACATTATCTAGTTTTTAACTATTATAGCGAGAATTGTCAGCTCTTTATCTAATCTCCCATAATGTATCTTTAATCAAGAAAACCAAATCAAAATACCAACGTTAGATAATCTCCCAGGTTGGATTCAATCAGTGTTAAACTAGGCCTATCCAATCACAGATGGTGACAGTTTGTTACATGCCAGCAGCATAGATCGATGAAATTTGAATGTATCATAACTTTGTAAATACTGCATGGAATTAAACTATTTTTGACTGATATTCTTATTAGAGATTCATATTTCACAATATTGTAGTTTGCAAGGGATTACAAAAGGCGCTAAATGACGCATCAAGTCTTTCAATATTCAGTCATTATTTTATAACCCGTCCTTTCAATCTGTCTCATACTGTAGTTAAAACCCTTTAATTTAGATCGAAACAAAGTATTGAATTGGGTTATGTTATGATGTGTTATTTCCATTAGTGATAGGACAAACTCTATGCAATTAAAAAAAAAACTTCAAATGATTAAACATAAGTCAGTTTAAATTTTGGCTTACAGTATCAACAATGGAAAACAAAATCTTTTAAAGCTCAAGTCTCAACTCTGTTTTTATATATAGACGTAAATTTTTCAATGAAGGCAACTCTTTAATTTTTGACCCAAATCAATTTGAGGTTAAAGGAAATGAAATGAAATGGGGTTTAACGTCCTACTGTTCTGCTCCTATACTGGGCTAATGAAGACGGGCATACAACATACAGTGTGCTATGAGGGAAATTTTGCCCGGGCAGTGGCACTATCGCCTACTCTTATATCGAATTCCAACTGCCAGGGGATCTTTTATGTGCATTCCAATATATACCCGGGACCTTGGTTTTTCATATCATCCGAAGGACTAGACAGCTGTCCATGTCAGGCCCTCCGTTCTGCACCACTGACAATTGGAAACCACGTCGGAAAATCCTGATGAACTATCTCGGCCAATGCAAATTTGAGGTTAAGTGGTGCATATGGATAAGAACACCTTTTTATTAGGGACCGTGACATGTAAAGTCCAAATAAGACTGCTACAAACCTTTAAATCCTGTGTAAAATTTGGCATGGATTCTATAAGTTCACCTGGATGATGTTCTCCGAGTGGGAATGGATAGTCACTTCCTAATATCACCCGGTTCTACAATAAAAATTTGAACAAAACTTAAAATTTAGTAAGTTAATTATTAGAGCATTTCACACATTCACTGAACAATTTATCAGTTCCTCAACATAGTCTAACACATCGCATTTTTTCAAGGTTATGGTGCATACATATTATACCATGACTTGGTTAGCGGGATACATACATGTGATACCTTGACCAAGTTAGCAGATTTTGCAGTATACAGGGTTGAATACGATTTTTTTTTTATAAGCTACCAGAATTAAGATGACCTACTCCTTGTCACATAAACCACATAGACGACAGACAAACGCTTTACAGTTTTTAGATCAAATTGACCATTTATCCATCTCGTTCAAAAGACTGGAATAATTTAATGTTATAAAGCCTACCTTTCCTATGACATCAGTAAGTAATTCCAGAGCCCGTTTATCATGTACAAGAGAATCAGTATAAATCTGACCTAAATACTGGCGTGGGCTAATATTATTATCAGTAGCACATAAATCAGGTCGAACATTAAAGCCATGTTCTATTCTTCCTACTGTGAAGGGAAACGCTCCACCTGAAAATAATAATTATTTATTTTCAACAACCAAATAAAAATAGGTGATGGTCCAATGCACATATTCTAACAAACATTATAAGTGTAATCTACATAGTCGTAAAAATATCATCAATCCAATCCATATAGTCATACAAACATCATAGTGAAATCAACATAGTCACGCAAACATATCATAGTGAAATCCACACTCATACAGACATCATGTAGCGAAATCAACATTGTTATACAAACATCACATCATAGGGAAATCCACAGTCATACAAACCTCATGACATAGTGAAATCCATAGTCATATAAACATCATGTAGTGAAATCCACATTCATACAAACATCATGTCATAGTGAAATCCACAGACACACAAACATCATGTCATAGTGAAATCCACTGTCATACAAACATCATGTCATAGTGAAATCCATGATCATACAAACAGCATGTCATAGTGAAATCCACAGTTATACAAACATCGTGTCATAGTGAAATCCACAGTCATACAAACCTCATGACATAGTGAAATCCACAGTCATACAAACATCGTGTCATAGTGAAATCCACAGTCATACAAACCTCATGACATAGTGAAATCCACAGTCATACAAATACCATGTAGTCAAATCAACATTGTTATACATCAACAAACATCATAAGACCAATTTATATAGCCATACCAACATCATAAGACAAATTTACATGGTCATAAACTGTCCACTTTACATAGACTTACAAACATCATCAGGTCATTCTGCATAGTTGTACAGACATTGTCTATCTATTACTGTTAGTGTCAGACATTTTCACAGGTAGGCCTACAACTAGACTCTCTACTAGTCTCTACACCTACATTAATTATAAATCTGAAGTCTGAATGTTCACTTGTAGTATCATCACTGTCGCACAAAATACCGTGGAATGCAAAACCAGACACGAATGTTAATAATAATGTTAGCAGCTTCATCAAAAGTTCACAATAAATCCATTGAAATCAATGGATCCCATCCTAGTCGCCATTTTGTCACCGGCAGGGTGTATCGTTCACCACAGTCACAAATAGGACTTGACTAATTATATTCATCATAAACTTGAAACTTTATTCATCGCCTTAAAACGTCATTAAATAGCAGCATATATATACATATAGGTATAGGAGTTTCATATGGCTAACCGCCTCACAACTTCATTAAATTACTTATTGGCTGATCGCCGAGCTAACCGCACTACAACATGTCTCGTCTCTCCCCTCGACTCTCCCGCACGCACCAAACTCACGTCATGCATATAATTAACAGACTCATCCCCACACAGTTAAAGGGAGGCAAATAAATTTAATAATTCCTTAAACAGATTTCCTCATAGATTTCTAATTAATCTAAGGGACCCGAATCCTGACAGTAAAAACAGGTTGCCTTTTGTTTTTACTTATTGCCGATGCTATATGTGTGAACTCTTGATCCTAGCAGTTAAAAGTACCATATATAAAAACTTATTCTACTAACCGCCATGAGCAAAGCAAACTTTCAATCTAGGAAATCTTTCTAAAACACCTCCAAATATCATTGCACACATAGCAGTTGTTGTCTCAGCTGGCATTCCTGAAAACAAAATTGTATGCTATTAAATTAAAATTGTCAGCCTTTAGTAGATTGAACTGTACACAACTATCTATTTACAGACTCTTACCATAATTCATGGTCAGCAATAAATACTCTGGTCGATGCACAAATATATGTTCTTGGAAACTGTTGATTTTGTACATAACTTTTTTTCACATAATAAGTGCCCAAACCCATAATTTATAATATTTCGAATTAGGGGGGGAGGGGGGCTCTTTTAAGCAAATAAATGAAATAATAAGAATAATTTATTACTATTAACACAGTTTAGTATCGTTTTAATGCTCAATTCCAAGATTATGTCTACTGAATAAAGCAGGGCAGTTGTTACATTGTAACAGTATTCCAATTCCATGGAAATCTAAGGGGAAGCTTGATTAAACTTTCTAGAGTCGAATTTTCGCAATCCAAAACATAGTGACAATCGAGTGAAAAGCAGCATGCGGCGACTCCATAAAAAAGTATATCAACCAACAAGGACAGCTGAAACATATTCGTCGTGTTTATTTACGTCACGATTCTATTCACACAAAATCTGCTGACAGGACTGACGGAATTGTAATGGGACTCAATGCTGTACCACTCGATTGCAATTCTGCCAATTCGGGGTATTCCCAACTGACAAACGAGCATCCCCTAAGTGTCTAACAATATCAAATTGTAAAGGGAGTAAATCCTACCTACTAACCATGGTAACCAATATTTCTTCATTCGGCCTGATTGTTCCATATCCCACGGATGAACAAATATACAACATTCTGATTCTTCAGCTGCCTGCAATATAATAATACTGAATTCACGAAACAGTAGAGGTAAAAACCCATTTCTTTATTTTCAATTTAGGATATTAACTTTTGCAACACATAGCATTTAATTATTTTCCTAAACTAAACATTAAAACATAAATGGAGCAGAATCTTTGTAAAGGGAGGTAATAAGGGCAATTCAGAATGTGACTAAATAAAACAACAATGACAACAGGTATGAAATGTAGAGTTTTTACAAGGTTTCAGGGATGGAGGAAACAGAGAAATTTTGATAGGGTCCTCTTCCCAGCTATTTTGTATTTTTTAAATTAATCATTTATACTTAGTCACATTAGTTTTTAAAATATTTGATGCAGATGTAACAGTCAGGGATTGCTGATTTTTAAAATAATGTGTAGGTCTGGGTTAAAGATATAAAATGACAGAGAATTAAATTAAAAAGAGATATTGCAAGTTTATGCATATTGGTGGATGAGGACAATATAATGATAATTTTGTAAACAGTTTTATTTAATGGGGAAGACAAGTCTGGCTGGAGTTACTGGGTATATAACTCCTCTGATATAAAGTTATGAATGCACTAGGCTCCCTTGTTCCCCCCACCTACTCCCGTCTTGCACCACTGACAAGGGAAAATAACGCTGGGGAACTTTCTCCACCAACACTGGGATCGAACATCGAGCCTCACTACGCCACCACTGCTCTAAGTTAAAGATACATTAGGGGATGAAAAGGTTTTCAATGGAGATAATTTGACTCGCATGAAAGATTTCTGTCTACATTAGTGAATAAACATTCAATAAAATACTTAACAGCAAACACTGGATATAATTCTGGGGAATCTAAATTCCATTGGTTTATATGTGACCCAATCTGTACACCCGGAAATCCTAAAATTGTTTTAAAAATACATGTAACCCAATTTTAAAAATACAAACAATTAAATCAATAATTCATTAAAAACTTAACCATCAAGCAATGATTGAATTATCATCACATCCAAAATGACAAAGGCCATCTTTAGAGTATGCTATATAAAAGTAAATGTAATAATTGCCCACTTGCTGTTTTTTCTTTGAAATGTAATAAACACCCACGCTCTCCTAATACTGTAAATAACATTGATTTCACCCAATTTCTGCTAATAATGTAAATAATGTTGATTTCACCCACCCTCACCTAATAATGTAAATAACATTAATTTCTCCCCATGCTCTCCTAGGCCTAATAATGTAAATAACATTAATTTCACCCATCGGATCTTATACTGTAAATAACATAAATTTTGCCCACCCTCTGTAAATAACACTGATTTTCTTATCAACTTCATTGTGACAAAATGACATCATTAACCATGCCAATACTGTAAATAACACTGATTTTCTTATCAACTTGAGAAAATGACATCAAAAACCATGCCATGAGCAGTTGATATACCAATCCCATTTAGAGTTTTACACCCTGAATTGGTTTTCCTACAAATAACCAACAACCAGGAACTCTGCACACACTATGCGCTAAACCCACAAAATAAATAAATAAATCAAAAATGCATAAACGTGTTTATTTTTAAATTAAGAAATAAATAATTAAATATATTTCTGAATTTGAATGTTATTCTTGGCACATAAACCTACCTAATTCATTTCTACATCTACGTAGTTCTTCAACAGCCAGTTCTGGTGCTTGCATTGGTAATGTTCCCAGTCCAACAAATCTATGTGGATGAGATTTAACTGATGCTGCTAGATCATTGTTTAATATTTGAGATAAATCAACTGTGTCTTTCGGTTCCGCCTGGAAAATAATTAGAATTCCATTGTAGGGGCATTTACTAACCTACCTATATTGATTGGTGAGTATCAGAAACAGATACCATGTATGACAAGAGCCCAATTGGGCTTAACCACTATCAATATACAGTATTAATAATATCTTTGTCCATTAGAAAATGTCTACATTTGCAAATTCTTGTTCTCAATCAAACTACGGGGGCTGGCTGAAAAAAGTTCTAAGCCTATCTGTGAAAGATCTGTACAAAGTCGATGGTTTCCATTTATTTTTCTACATAGTCCCCTTTGAGGTGGGGAGTTGGATGGCAGAATGGTTAGCCCATGCGCGTTGTATCATAAGGTCTGAGTCAACTGGCGTGGTTTCCATTCCCAGGTTGTACGTGACAAGGAGTGGGTCGCCTGTCCAACCTTGTGGGTTTTCTCCAGGTTCTCCGGTGTCCTCCCACAGCTACAGACCCCTACGCGCCACTGAATTATTGAAATAAAATTGAACCCTACGTTTGTCCCGAAATGACCTAGTTTGTGTCGAGTGCACGTTAAACCCCATTTCTCTCTCTCTCCCCTTCCCGGTATACACACTTGCCAAAGATGTAGCAAGACCTGGATGCCAGACATGAAGAAATTTTCTTCAGCCATCCTAAAAAAAATTGTTCACAACTGCCATGACATCATCATTACTAGAAAAATGACTGAATTTTGGATTCTGGTTGAACGTGACGAATCCAGGTCTCATCCATGGTTACATGGGAGGCCTTACACATTCATTCAAACAACCTTTGTTGGAATCCCTTGAAAAAGACTAAATACACCTCTGCCTCACTCCTATGAAGTCGATCAACTTTATTAGAACGAAGAAACATATCTAGCAAATTTGATTGGAATCTATATTGTGTAGTTTATAAAAGTTAAAATGATCTAAATGTGCCACTACCACCCAAACAACATGCCTACCAAACTTGGTTGAAACCCAAAGAACAAGCTGACAGTTTTTTTTAAAAAAAAAAAATGAAATGGAACTTTTAGAGTGCAGCCCATGTTTGCCCAAGCCCTGGGAACTTTCCACTGGCAAGATAAGACATTTGGTCAGGTCTTCTTCAAGTGTAAGGGTTAGGGTTGTGAAGCAAAATTGAAACAGATACATGATCTAGGATCAAAATCTCATGCCTGTTTTCCTCTATTTGATTACTAGTGTTGTACTACAATGTTATGCAAAAATGAAAGGAAATTTTAAGTTATCTTGACTTGCAATGTAAGGCAAATATACAATATTAAATAATAGTGAATTTTTAGTGCAGATTCTTTTTGTCTTATTTTTGAAATCTAACAAGAGCTGAACTATGTGAACTTTTTCTAAACAACAAGTGTTATCAGGGGTTCAAGAAAGAGTAAATATACCCATACAACTGGGACCCCCAGATTTTGATATTCACAAAGCCAATGTGTAATACTTAAAGTAGCTAAGTCTCTAACTCAATATCATCCAAAGTCTTACACGTTGAAAACACAAATTATTTGTCAATTCAAATCAACATTGATGTTGTTATCTTACAGGGAAAAGGTAGGCTTCTGATAGCCAATATTTAAGACAAAATAAACATTTAACCATTGGTACACGAATCGTGTACCATAGTGTGTTCCATCGTCATTAGTAACAAGTGACCAGAAAGAGTGAGGCTAGAGATATTCCATAACTCATGTCATACGGCGACACCATAACTTATCTGGAGAGCATGCATAATAGACAGGAATAACCAGACGCTAGAAATTTCTATTTGGTTGAGACTTATGCCGTATTTCACGGGACTTAACTGATTTGAAATTAGAGTCAAAACGGAAATAATTAAAAGTAAATCAGTTCATATACAATCAGATTCCATTATTATATGCATTGCGACTCATTTGGGTCAATTTCTAGGTCCCAAATATTAGCAATTTAGCTCCTTTAATATGGTTTATGTTTTGTCAAAGATCCATCCAAGAACTCCGGATTTTTTTTTTTTTTAAATTTTCGTCTCCATTAGCCCAGTCGGAGTAGAACAGTAGGGCATTAAACCTCAAATGTTATTTCAGAATTGTAAATGTCAAACACTTACCCAATAATTAAACATTACAGGTACAGTAGATAAGACTTGTACTGTAACACCTGTTAAAATATGTAGATAACCTTATTATATTCTTAGACATATATATGTATATAATTTTATTGACCTAAAAATGTTTATGTGGGTGAAATTATTTTGCTTATCTGTCATTTTTATACAATATTTATATATTAACGGGTAGCATTTTACAAAATATATTTTTTGCTTCCTCAATTTTAAATGACAAGGAGTAGACGACTATCCAACCTCTTGGTTTTTCTGCGGGTCCTTCTGTTTCCTCCCACAGCTAAAGAACCCTACGTGCAAACAAATTATTGAAATAAGATTGAACCATGTGGAAGTCCCAAAATGACCTAGCCTGGATCAAGTGGACTCTAAACCCAAACGTTATCTTATTTATTCAACATGTTAAAACATAATGAACCAATAAAAGCAAAGGAACACCTCTACAAACAAGCCATGAAATATGGCACCGGTCACAGGCAATGTCAGGCACAGATTCAGGCTTTTTCAATCACAATCCCTCTGGTGTATTTGATCAGTGTTTTGTAGATGATATTCATTGTAAATGTCTGGTACAAGTTCATTATTTTCAGGCATGCTTATTTTGTTTAGTACAATTTTTTTTTATCATTGTTTTTAATGATATTTATAATACATATCTGGCACCAAAATGATATGTACTAATTCATTAGTTCCTGACATTTTTTTAGATACGGTACAAATTAAAATCATTATTTTCAGGTTTGTATTGTTAAAAGTTAAAAGTGACCAACCTGTTTTATCCATTTCTTTTAATCTGGTTTCAGGTGACCAACAGTTAGAATCAATTTCTCTAAAGAACACATCATCTTTCATCATACGAGCTTTACCTTCACAATGATGTTCTAACTGTATAAATCCTCCATAACCATATCTCTATAATACAGGGAGAGAAAAATGGGGTTTAACATCCACTCAACACAAACTGTGTCATTTTGGAACTAAATAAAATTTTATTTTCTGCTCCTATACTGGGCTAATGAAGACAGGCATACGCCTAATCTTATATCGAATTCCAACTGCCAAGGGATCTTTTACGTGCATTCCAATGTATACACGGGACCTCGGTTGTTCGTTTCATCCAAAGGACTAAACAGCTGTCCTTGTCAGGCCCTCCGTTCTGCACCACTGACAAGGGGAAACCACATTGGAAAATCCAGATGAACTTTCTCGGCCAATGCAGGGATCGAACACCCGACCTCCAGGCTAGCGAGCCAGCGGCTTAAACACCTAGCCACTATGGCTCCCATGTCAATGACACTATCATATCAATGACACTATCATATCAATGACAGAGTTTATGATTTATAAAGCACACACGTATTAGACCACTAGACAATCCAACTCCCCCACCAACACACTCATCCCTATATTTAAATAGTCTAGGTTTCATAATGTTTGACGTAATTAGGTTTACAAGATGAAGAACTGTTTTTTTCTAAAATAACTTATCAAGCTTCCACTTTTCAAAATCAAATTATATAACATTAAAGATACTATAATTAATTGCCAAAAAAATGTTGCCTGTTTTTCCCCCGCAAATTTGGTACAGAACCTGTCACGGTGCAATGTCTATTTTCTGTCTTGTCCGCAGGTTTATCTTGTAGATTTTTGTTTTGCGTGAAGTGCGGTTCTCCTGCACTTACTATTTGATATACATGTAGTATACGATTTGTATGAATGTATTGGGTTGTCTATGTAATAATATGTATTATTGAATGTATATGACTATGTCTAAGTGTATATGTATGCATGCTGTCCTTCATGGACATTTACTTATCTTATCATTCTAGAAAAGAGCTAGCTCTTCAAGCATGAATATGTATTTTGAAACAACACTAATTAGGTGAATATACTAATAAATACTTTCAATTCATTTTGAGACCAGCAGAGGGTAATTATTTATTGCATATATTGTATAAAATGTTACAAATTTGCCAGGGAATTGTTAAGTTTGTAATATAAATAATGTCAGAATATTGTAATATAGTTTCTTTTTTTTCTGTTTAAAAACAAAACAGTTGGACAGACTTCATTGTCAACTGTTCATAATTGTTAACACCGCAGCCCCAAATACCAAATATGCAACTATGGTTCAATTAAACCTAATAGAAATAAAATGTATGTTAATTGCATGGATCTGGTAAAAAAAATAATTTGAGATATTTCATCCAAAATTTGACAGTATAAATAGGCCTATTCAATAAACTGTCCAACAAATTTTATACAGAGAAACAGTAAAGAAAATATATGTTAAACGGATACCAAAATTGCATAACAAAGGCTTGTTAAACGATATATAAGGAAGTCTTTTTGACCGCATAAAAAAACGGTCAACACAACATAATTATAATAACATTGATAATTAAAATTATTTGTTTTTCTAATTCTGAAAATAAAATCCACAAGTCTGTTATCGTTACCAAACTGATGCTCCGTTGCTTACCTCTCTAAGGTTTGGCCATGATGCTGGTAATATATGCGTATGCAGATCTACTTTCATGTCTAACTGCTTATAATGTCAAAACAACATTGATAACAAAATATACCCCTTGAAAGCTCACCTCAGCTGGTGTTGTTATTCACATGACCCGCTGACCTACTTCAGTGCCCGGTCTTGTTTTCAACCAATCAGCATTGATGTAGTGTGTAGTCTCGACTAATAAGACAACTATTGCCCATAAATGAATGAACTAATTAATCAGGACTTCAGAAAGCGAAAGTAAATTATTTTAGCACGAGTAAGCTTTGCCACGCGTGTCAAATTGAGTGACAGTTAATCTCGCTGAGTAAATTCCCGACCAAACGACCAAAACTTTAAAAGCGCTATGCTTCCTTGTCATTTCAAAGTCAAAGATGGCTACATTTCTTTTGAGTTTTCACTCAAATTTATGAGGATCCCCTGCCTATCAGTACAATATTTATCCCAATGCGGGCAATATATATATATTGAGGATAAAACTTGATCGCACTGTTATAAATAGTAGCGATTTTAATACGTGACAAAGAATGGTACATAAAAGGTGTCTATCATTTAGGTATTGGAAGCCACCCTGAAAATCTCGGCCTTTCAGACCTTACCTACCTTTACTAATTAACAGGTTATGTTACTTATGTATTCAATAATTTTCAAAACGATCCACCCACGCATCTTTAAATAAAACTTCCACGAGGCCTTATAATAAATAACAAAATGGACTATCAGCATAAGGATGTTAATTAAAGAAGACTTCCGAACAATTCGCTTGCGCGTAGGGGTCTTTAGCAGTGGGGGGAAACTGGATGAAAAGGAGAAAACCCACGAGGCGACCCTACTCATTGTCACGTACAACCGGGAAATCGAAACCCCGCCAGTTGACTCAATGTATGATACAACGCACACGTGCTAACCACTCGGTCATCCAACTCCCCAGTATAAATTGGAGTACGTAAGCTAATCTATAATGTTGAATTTAAAGATGCACTATGTATAAGATAGGGGGCGTGGAATTACTCAATAACACCTAATAACTATCCATTAACTCCCAAATAAACCCAATAACTCCAAAGTAATACCCAATAACTCCAAAATGCTGACTTTGGAAACACAAAATAGCAATTTAGTTGAAGACACGTCTGTTTTGTGCCAAAAATCGGAACTTCAGTCTCACTCGCATGAAGGCGGGTTTGATGGACGAATGGTTAGCACGTGCGCGTTATATTATAAGGTCTGTCATTGAGTCAACTGGAGTGGTTTCGATTCCCCGGTTGTACGTGACTAGGAGTAGGGTCGCCTGTCCAGCCTCTTGGTTTTTCTCCGGGTCCTCCGGTCTCCTCCCACTGCTAAAGAATTGTTTAAATAAAAAATTCAATCATGTGTTAGTCCCGAAATGACCTAGTTTGTGTCGAGTGGACGTTAAATCCCATGTTTCTCTATCTCTCTCGGGGGGGGGGGGGCGAATGGTTAGCACGTGCGCGCTGTATCATAAGGCCTGTCATTGAGTCAACTGGCGTGATTTCGAATCCCCGGTTGTACGTGACAAGGAGTAGGGTCGTCTGTCCAACGTCGTGGATTTTCTCCGGGTACTCCGGTTTCCTCCAACTGCTAAATATCCCTACGCGCAAGCGAATTATTGAATTACAATTAAACCATATGTTAGTTCCGAAATGACGTAGTTTGTGTCGAGTGGACGTTAAACCCCATCTCTCTCTCTCTCTCTCTCTCTCTCTCTCTCACACACACACACACACACACTCGCGTGAGGGGAGATAACGCGTGTATGTGATTTGTGTTGATAAAAACATAATGTATGCTTTCGTTGTATTTTGGGACAGATTAGTATGGTGGCTGATAGTGGCCATGTTAAATCTCGCCCTTTTCATAACGCGACAACACGACATCACGACAGTATTGACGCAATCATACGACACTTTATTCTGTCGTATCATCGTGTTATTTTTATCGTAACGTCGAGATGTCGACTTATTGTCCTAGTCTCTTTCTACAAGTCACAAAAATACAGCTGTACTCATTACATCATATATAGGCCTAAGTAGTAGATTTGATAAATATAAAAGAGATAGTAGGAAAACGTTGATTAATTATTTGTTTTCTCAAAATAATGAAACATTTTGTGTCCACAAGTGAATTATATTTGGTATTATATTTAAAAAATCTAGAATTACAATAGCAGGACCAAAGTGAGTTAGCTAAGTTAATTTCTTGAAGAAAAAGTGGTGTCGGGAGGTATCGAACAAGTAAGCATTCATTGCCATGTGTACGACACCCACCACTATTTATAGATGACTGGAGCGATAGGTTAAAAATGATTTCAGAAGACAGGGTGGGAAGGGGATTGTAAAAAAACCAAATCGGGTCACATTCTTTAAAATCACAGCATTATCATAGTGCAGCACGTCACCCCAATAGTTGCAGGAGTTTTTTTGAATGAGGTGGAGAAAACGATTCGCAGCCTGTCATTGAGTCAACTGGCGTAGTTTTGAATCCCCGGTTGTACGTGACAAGGTGTAGGGTCGCCTGTCAAACCTCGTGGGTTTTCTCCGGGTCCTCCGGTTTCCTCCCACTGCTAAAGACCCCTACGCGCAAACGATTTATTGAAATAAAATTAAACCATATGTTAGCCCCGAAATGACCTAATTTGTGTCGAGTGGACGTTAAACCCCCTCTCTCTCTCTCTCTCTCTCTCTCTCTCTCTCCCATTTGACATCACTAATGGGATTGAGGCCTAGATGAGTAAAAATAGGCCCAGTAATATCTTCAACTATGAACACACTCTAAAAGCCTCATCCCCCCCCCCCCCACGTCACCCAAATAGCAGGAGTTTTTTTTATGAGGTGGAGAAAACGATTCGCAGCCGTTATTGACCTTATCGCATATAGGCTTGCATCCGTTTGACATCACTGATGGGATTGCGGCCTAGATGAGTAAAAATAGGCCCAGTAATATCTTCAACTACGAACACACTCTAAAAGCCTCATACCCCCCCCCCACCCCCACGTCTCTTACTTAGTTTTACAAATAATTCCAGAATCAATAAAATGGTATCAATGATGTTTGATACAACTGGAAAATAATATGTCAAAAATTGATTAAACATGAGAAATATTATTACATATTGAATCCGTATCAGTGATAACGTACATTTACTCAATATGTTCCTTCCAATGGATCATCATTTAACATGAAACAAGGAAAGCAGCGATCGAAGAAAAAGATTTAAAAACACACACATTTCAATATGACAGTAGTGATTCGGTCATGCATTTACATTCGAGAGTGTCATGCTTTCTTTGAAAGTAATGATTGTGCCAAATTTGAACAAAGTCAGTTTACATTCGCGGCCTATAGGTAGAGTGTTGACAGATCAAACGTAAAAAAAACAAAGAAAAAACCAGACCTATAAAAATATATTTCTAAAACTCTTTTAATTTTGAAATAATATTGTTTTCGCGTGTGCGAAGTGTTTCAGCGAATACATGTAGTCACAGAAAGGGTCTTGTAGATTAAGCGCACGTGCAGTTTCAAACTTCCGAGACGACAAGTCGACAAGTCGATGATACGACAAAACCAAACTGTCGTATCATCGACTTGTCGACTTGTCGTCTCGGAAGTTTAAAACTGCACATGCGCCATAGTCTTAATCTACAAGACCCTTTCTACAACTATTCGCTAAAACACTTATCACACGTGAAAACAATATAATTTCAAAATAAAAAAAAGGTTTAGAAAATATATTTTCATAGATCTGTTTTTTTTTAAGGTGTTATCTGTCAACCCTCTGGTATAACTACAGACTGCGGAACTAGATGTTCAAATTTAGCATAATCATTACTTTCAAAGACAGGATGGCATGAAATGAAATGAAATGGGGCTTAACGTCCTACTGTTCTCTCCTAAGCTGGGCTAAAGACGACGGGCATACGCCATACAGTGTGCTATGAGGGAATTTTGCCCGGGAAGCGGCGCTACGGCCCGCTCTTATATCGAAATCCAACTGCCAAGGGATCTTTTAGGTGCACGCCAATGTGTACACGGGACCTCGGTGTTTCGTCCCATCCGAACGACTAGACAGCTGTCATTGTCAGGCCCTCCGTCCTGCATCACTGACAAGGGGGAACCACGCCGGTAAATCTTGATGAATTTTGTCGGCCAATGCAGGGATCGAACCAATCTGTGAAAAAAGTCGTCTAATATCTCTGTAAAAGATGACTGTTTTCAACACATGCAATCACGTCACGCGGTGTCAATCATTGGACCAATGGCGCGTGCATTGTTTATATAAGACGTAACTGCTTCGGGTAGAATGATACCTTTTACTCATTTTAATACCCACTTACGCTACATAGGAAATATTTTTTACCTACAAATACTTCAAGTGTCTTTATTTATTTTTCTAATACATAAAAAAAAATGTTTTAGAATTAAATTTGTCGGAGGAATAATGTTAATATTGGGGACTCATTAAGTTGCATCGATGTCATCCTTATCAGAGGCCTAGCGAATATTCACTTCTGATCAGTGTGGGATCGAACACCCGACCTCCAGGCTAGCTAGCCAGCGTCTTGCCCACGTAGCCACGCGATCCTCTGAAAGGATGATACTCTCGGGTGTAAATACATGACCGAACCACTACTGTCATATTGAAGACGGGCATACGCCATACTATGAGCGAAATTTTGCCAGGACAGCGCACTATGGCCTACCATTATATCGAATTCCAACTACCAAGGGATATTTTAGGTGCCAGGCCCTCTGTCCAGCACAATTGACAAGACCTCGTCGGAAAATCTGGATGAACTTTCTCGTCCAATGAAGGGATCGAACACCCAGCTTTCGGGTTACCGAACCAACGTCTTACCTGCCTAGACACTGCGACTCCCCCGCAAAATATCAAGCACCAAAAACAATGGATCGAGGCCTAGATGATTACACACTATGATAGCCTCATACGCCCCCCCCCCCCACGTCTCTTATTTTGTTTTACAAATAATTTCAGAATCAATAAAATGATATCAATGATGTTTGATACGACTGAAAAATAACATGTATAACATTGATTAAACAACATAGGTAGTAAT